TAAATTTGCCTAGAAAAATCACACAACAGCCAGGGGCTGTTGGGGTTGGTTCTGCAACGTCCTGGTGTGCTCCCTCCACACAACACGGTCCATGGCATTTAGTTCCTACGAGTCCGTCTCAGTACCTGTATCATTCATGTCCCGCTTGCACATATCTTTATATCATAGCAGATATCGACGTCGACATTCTTTAATCGTTGAAGCTCTAAGGAAGTTATAATTAAGGCACCAGTAACGGCTACTCTATCTGTGTGTAACCTACAGTATACCGCGGGCAAGCGCCCAGGTGAATCCCTGAATAATTCTACCAAAACAGAAGGAGTTTAAAAATGAAGGATATTTGAATTAATACGTGCGCGGAACAATAGATGGAAGAAATAACAAGTAAAAGTAAAGTAAAGGACCCTTTTCCAGGCTCTCATGCGCATTTGGCACATAGGGCCTGACCTATCAGCATTCGATGGTCGATGTTATCATCACGCCGGCCACCTTTACTTCTTATGATTATACCTGGTAAAAATTTTAACCTGTGTCCACCTAGGAGCCAAAATAATTTTTGATTTAAAAAAAGTCCGGGCTCCGTCGGGACCCGAACCCACGACCTTTCAATCCACAGTAAGGAATAAAGCGATAGTAAGTATTAAGTGGCAGGAGACAATGAACGAAGACATAAAAAAATGCAATGAAATCAATAGAATCCCTGATTCACTTTATGACTCAAGCTGAACTTTTAGTGTAACAGTCGTCCCCATGAGCGATGTCATTTTTCGTTATTTGAAGCCCCCTCCCCCCCCCCCCTTTTTTTCCCCCGTCTTTTGCAAGGGGGCCCTGAATATAGCCGGACCATAAATATGGCCTAACAGCTGAAAGGGGTTTCTGGGACCTCTCCAGGGGTGATCAGCATCCGCATGGTGGCACCTTGTGTCACCAGCTGTTTATCGCTTTGTGTGATATCCTGGTGGGGTACAACTTACATACATACAAACAACGCCATTTCGCGAAGCACAATTGCCATTCTGATAATCACATGTTTGTCGCCTTTTTTTTTTTTTTTTCGTCTACAAATATTTTATCTTGTTGAGAAACATGAAGACGGGTAACTCCGCGTAGAGAAACAAACATCGTATCGGAGGTTCCAAATAATTAGCGTCCTTTGGATAAATTCTTAAGTGTGTACAGGTGTTTTGCGAAACCAACAGGCGGACTGATTAGTTGGTTCTGCACAACTTGGTGGTAAGTTGATGAGTAGCAAGCTAGATGTTATCGGGACCGTTTGGGGATGCGGAAAAAGTGCGAAGGCACAAATAGATAGCCACTGTCTGAAGAGAGCGTCGAAACGGGAAGTGATCAGCGGAATTCGGCAACACTCAACGCCCAGGGGCAAGGTAAGACGGACACATAGTCAGAATGCTACAAGTAAAAAAAGAATTTGAACTCTCTCCTGGCTGCTGGAGATGGGGACGGAGCGGTTAGGGTAACGTCTCGAGTGCTCAGATATCAATTTTTAACTCAACTCGATTACCACAAATAGGAGACACTTGTGCACACACTCTACTGTTGCACTAGAATTTGGGTTGCCAGACAGAAACACTTACCTGCGCCTGTTTGCTGATATTTGTTTTTATTTCTAAATGTATATATATATATATATATATATATATATATATATATATATATATATATATATATATATATATATATAGTGTATCATCATCATCATCATAAACCACTTCTGCCGTTAAGCGTCATGGGGAGGAATAATTTGCGATCCAGTGCACGTTGGCTGCCACTGGCTATTGTCATGCCATGAAGGCGTAGAGTGTCTTTAATGTTGTCGATCCATGTTTTCCGCGGCCGTCCTCTTGCTCTTGAAGCTGATCTTCTGAGATGTAGTGCTTGTGATGGTATTTGATCTTCCTGCATTCTAACGAGATGACCAAACCACTTGATCTGCTGTTTCTCGATGAATCTAGTACAAGGTGTCGTTCCCACAATTTATCTGATAGTTTCATTATTCACTCGATCTCTTATGGTTAGGTTGGCTGCTTTTCTCAGGCACCTCATCTCGCAGGTGGTAATTTTGCATATATGGGATTTAGATAGTGTCCATGTTTGGCACTGGTAGCTTAATGTTGGAATAAATATGCTATTAATTATCTGCCTCTTTGCACTCATAGTTATGCTTGGATGTCTTAATAATGGTGACAATTGGTATATAAGTGCACTTGCGTTCTGACATCTGCTTTCTATTTCTCTGTCAATTCTACCATCTTCTGTGATCATACTTCCTAGATATTTTAACTCCCTAACTTGATTCAGGGCAGAACCATTCAGCTGTATGTGTAGTGGGGCAGAATGTCTACTAACTTGTATTGTTTCGGTTTTGTTTACATTGATCTTCATGTTTTATTTACTACATGCTGAGTTTAACCTGTTAATGTGGTCTTGCAGTCTATGTTCTTCAGAGTAGAACAAGCACTGGTCGTCAGCAAACAGTAGTTAGTTTAATGTGGGTGAATCGATTACTTCTCCTGATGTATGTACTTCCTCGTGATTATAAAGGTCTGTTGTCTGTATCACAACTGGCTTCTTTAGATATTCTGTCTATATAGATGTTAATTAAAAGTGGGGAGAGCACACATCCCTGTCTCACACCTGTGTTGACTGTGAACATATATGATGTGCCTTCTTGTGTTTTTACTGCACTTTAGCTTGTGTGGTACATGGCTATGATGTTCTCTAGTAACTGTCCTTGTACCCCGTAATTCTCAAGAGCAGACCACAGTTTGTTTCTTTCCACTCTATCAAAGGCTTTTTCCTGATCTATAAACACAATATTCTGTTTGGTATTATACTCAATGGCTTTCTCACACACTTCCCTCAGAGTGAATAATGCATCTGTGCATCCTCTGCCTTTTCTGAAACCGAATTGTGATGCACTCAGCCGTTGTTCTGATATATAGTGTATAAGATGTGAAAAGGTTAACAGAAGAGATGGTTATAACTGTTAACATATGTTTCAGTAAATGTTAATATGCGTTCTTTTCGCGTGAATGCTAAAGGTGCGTTGAGATCTTTGCGGCAACATAATATGAACATAAACGTGTAAAATGAACTTCTTTCTATATACATAGCTAGGGAGATGACGGAGAGGGGGATGGGAACTTAGCCCCTTTGCAAATTCTGGGGATAAGGTGGTGTTGGTTAGCTCCTGTAGAGGGCTATAGATAGAAGAACATACATGCAGACAGACCGAATGAACCTTATCGCTTATCTTCTGCAAAAACATTTGGAAAATTCAAGCTTAGAATCCTAATCTAAACATGCTGCAGTAGCATGTAAACAAGATTACTTTACCTTGATGTGCTCTGCTGTTGTGAAAGATATCTTTACTTTCAAACCAGATAATGAAACCGAGATTATGGAACCAGTTAACGGATGCGAAAAGAAAACCTCCACTTTTCATTCTCTACAAAGGGGATAATTATATCCCCGCGAAAGATGAAAGCGCATGAAGAAGGATCTCGAATTTGCCGCTGAGGGAACGAAATGTGTAGGGCTCATCAATTCTTGCTGCGCCTAGTTACAGTAGCGTTCTCACCTTTCGCACCTGACAATCCACTCGGCTCTCGCTAGAGCCTCGGCTAAAGTTCTTTGACAGGGATTTATCACAGCTGGGATTTGTTACGTTTGCGCAGCCAGTTATCCGATCTACAGAATAAATATGTAACTTAATATATTTGATTTACACAATAATAATAATAATAATAATAATAATTATTATTATTATTATTATTATCATTATACATTTCGGAGTTACGAATCCACTTCATCGTTTTAAAATGATGATAATCTGTGATTAATTAAATGTTACTTAGTAAAATAACCTTGCAGCCAGTTTCTACGCACGCGAACTTGTATATTGCATGGAAACAGATAAGATTTCAGTCTTCAAAATGTCAGGAACTGAATACGTGATTTGATGTAAAACGATGACATAAGTGACTATTGATTTATTTGTTTGTGAATCATCTGATCAGACGAGCTTTTACTACGTACTGAAATAAATGATAGAATAAGATTTCAGTGGCAAAGATTGAATTTAATTGTGTTTTGTTTTCTCGAAAAGACAGGAATTAAATACATCTGTGTGATGAAACGTTGACTGTGTTGTCAAAAGTGATATGTGAAATGTATTTAAAGCCATATATAGATTCATGAGCCTATATTACACACTGAAAGAGATCAGATAGAATACGTTTTCAAGTCTCCCCCCCCCCTTTTTTTTTTAATACTTACGCCCTTTCACTTATTTCGTTTCGTTTTATAGCCCTACATATTCACCCCTCTCCCCCCCCCCCCCCCCCCCCACCCCCCTTTCCCCCCAATTATGTACTTATGGTTTCATGTTGACCTTGGTTTTTTATTAGCTTTGTTGTCTTGTCTGTTGAGTTTTCTAGTCCCAGTTTGTGCTGTATTAGTACTCAGTTGAAGAAGACTTTGGTCGAAACGTTCGGTAGTCGTTGTGTATGTCTTTTCCATTCCCTCTGTTGAGCTTTCTAGTCACGTTTTATGTTATATTTAGTAAGTCTTAAATAGGCGAGACAAAAACTATTTTTCCGTGAATAAGACCGTAAAAGATGTAATTCTTCGAAAAGCCATGAATTAAATGTGTATATGACTGTGATGGAAAACGATGACTCCACCGGCTCGCGAAATATCCTTAAAGACATATATGATCACACGGGTCTATACTAAGTACCGAAACAGATCATATAGAATAAATATCTAATAGACGAGTGAGAATAAGATTTCATTAGAAGAAACTGGATCAGATTTCAGTCATCCAAAAGCCAGGGATTTGACGTACGACTGTGATGTAAAAACAATGACAGGTCTGTCAACTTCGGCTCAGCACTGACCACTTGCACTGTCAAACCATTGGTAACTTGGTTGCTGCGGTCCGCTCCAGCGCTGACCTTCTCACTGAAGTGCCTGTCATGTATGCCTACAAGTGTGAGAGTGAGTACTCGGCCATCAGAGCGCCTCGCAAGAATGACCTGAAGCGCCACAGCTTTCATGACTTCTACCACAGGTAGGTGTGTGTCTTAAAGAAAGACCAGTTACTTCTCGGCTTGTCTGTTATTTTTACGAAAGCTCAGTAGCTTCTCTGTTTTTTTGTTCTTGTTGTGTTTTGTCAACAGTTTAGCCTCTCCAGGGTATATTTAAAGAAGGTTTTCTTTTTAATGACTTTTCAGCTTAGTTGTCTCTTTCTTGACGAAAGCTCGCTAAGTTCTGGGATTATTATTATTATATTTTTTTTTTAAATGAAAGCTCAACAAGTTTAGTTGCTTGTTACTTTACGAAAGCTCCGTAACTTCTCGGATTTATTTGGGGGGGGGGGCGCGTTTTAACGAAAGCTCAGTAATTTCTTGCTCCCCACTTCGATTTTTTTTTAAAAACCGCCATCCCGCATGCCAACCTGAAAGCTCAGTTGCTGAGCGACGGAACCTCTAGATTTCCAGTCCAGGAATATTGAATTAGCAGACCGCGGCAGAGAGCTTCGATGGTAAGCCGGCATATCCCATCACTTTGAACAGGAAATTCAGATCATGATGATGTTGAGAGTGATAATTATGATAATATAGATAGCATACGCTGTGTAATTTGCTAAAACTAATTAGAAATAACAGAAGCTCTACACATTTATTTCATAAACTATACAAAGGCTTTCGGTAGTGTCAGTTTATTTGTGTGGTTTTTTTTAATTTCAGAATATCTGACATCGTTTATTTCTTAAGCACTAGTGACGTTTTTCCCGAGGTATCAGCCTAAGTCCCAGAGTTGTGAGCCTTAAAAAGCCGTCTTGCTGCGGATAAGCAACGCTGCTATCCTTGTCGCTCGTTAACGCTGACAGCTGAAGTAAATTCATGTCCTACTTCAAGTCCGAGAAAGCTTTAATATAGGCAATGTCACCGGCCGCTCACAACAACCATTGTACGATGTGCCAAATACAAGGCTCACAGCATCGAACCACAGCATTGAACACAATACAAAATGACACCTCTGTAACATAGACTAGCGTGTGTGAAAGGTCAGCAGTCATGAATGAAAGGCCAACCAGTGTTTGTTTGGAGCGAAAAACGTTGTTTGTACCATATCTGAATATTTGACATTCTTCATTTATCTCTGACCACCCATTCCTCTCCTGCCCCTGCCCATCCCATTCCGTGTCGCCTTCTGTCTCCTCTCTTCCCAGCCATGCCCGCCCATATTCCTTCACATTACAACACCCCTTTTCCCGCCAACGATCATTAGGCGCCCCACTTGTCAACAGAAGACAGCAAGGATGTCATTATGATGCCTTACACCTAACAGTAATGTCCCCGTGTAATACACATAGTCCCGTCTCAATGTGTTGAGTGTTGTATTTATGTGCGGATGATAAACCATGTTTTTTTGTTGGGTGTTGCTAGTTGTTTGAGATTTTATTCATGTCTCCTTGTGGATTTTTGTGTTTGACATTTCTGTGGAGTCGCCGTATCTGTGTCACATTGGAATAGAGTGCTTGGTAATCCCTTCTGATGGTACGTACTTCCAGTGGTGTACTTATGCTGTGACGTACTAGGTCGTCGTCCCGGTACCTCTTCTTCGCGTTCACCGGCTGTCAACTCCGGCGGAAAGTTCTGGTCGTTCGTCCACTTCTGCACTCTAGTCCTGTTCCAAAAACTGAGTGTTGCGTGCACATCCGTTTCACAGGTGTGACTCATTTTCATGCAGACTGTTGGTTCCTTGCCTTTCAGGCAGATGTATTCTTACTTCGAAAAAAGCTCCCAATTAGTCGACTTATACGACATGCTTTTGGGCAGGCAGTAGGTTTGTTTTTGTTCCCCCCCCCCCCTCCCCAGTGGGACCCATGAACCCACACAGGGAGTACTTGTACTTGAAAATATCTTTAACTCACTGTGTCAAACAGTGTTGAAATAAACGACGGTCCTTTTCTTTTAATTCACCTTAACTCGGAGACTCTAATATTTCGTGGGAGTTTCCGGGAAACTTCAATAGTATATGGCTGTTAGGGTGTACAATGAACACCGACCAACACTAACCCCTAACCCCCCTATAATACTGGGCTTTCCCTAGAACTTCTCGAGAAATCTCGGATCCCTGAGATAGAGTTAACTAACAGAAAAGTACCGAAATAACTTGTATTTCTTGCTTTACTTAGACACATGCTCACAGGTTCCGGTCCGATTGTCGGAAAATTAAATACCAGGTATCTATCTATCAACTCCGCTACTGTAAAACTGCAAAGCGGAAAGTCACACCCTCGGTTCCCAAACTCCCATTAAGACAGATTTTTTGGGATTTCGGGAGCAGCACATCCAAATATTTGCTAAGAGTGCAAGAATTGCGAGTAAAGATCGGTACAGCCAGGCACGAGAAGCACACCAGACACGCGAGAGGTCTTGTCAACCAACCTAAGACTGGGACAATGAACCGCTGCACGATGATTTATATGTTGAAGGGGGAATCTGAGCATCTAAGGACATGACCGGAGTGCAGCGAAGATAACCCAAATCATGACTCACAACTTAAAAGATAGATTGATCCTCAATTCTTTATGCATTTCCGGCATGGCTTTCGAACACAAAGGCCTAATACTGATGGCCATCAAACTCTGCGCCACTCGTCATGGCACACCACACGCATGCTAGAACTTATCTCTATTCATAAGAATTCATTTCCTGAACTCCCTACATTTTCCATCTTTCTCATATCCTTTGATTAATCATTTTTGACTGTTACATTTGTGTAACTGCGCTCACTGATAAGTTGTTTCTTTTATTTTTCGGTTGCTGTGTTCCTCAGTTTGGCGCCGTCTGAATAGTCTGCAGGCTCAGTGCAAAGAAGTGCACCAGACTCTGCCTACTTAACCCTGCCTACTTAACCACTTACAGAAATTAGTGTTCTTCCTGTGATCGTTTCCTTAATGTGTGCACTGACAGAAGAGACTTTATAGTAAAGTTGCCGCCAGTCTGGAGTCTCTTTCTACGTCCATATCATCATCAGGTGCCTTGCCCACTGGCGTGGGCGATCATGCCTCTCTACAATCTGCGATCTCCTGCAGCATGTATCAGTTCGTGTGCCGACACACCTCCATGCTATGCAACAAGACTGTCAAGCATCTTCTCTCGTTGTCTTTCTCTATCCCTTCTTCCACAGATCTTTCGAGTGGTCACATGTTCTATTTTCCCTCTTCTCATAACATAGCCGAAAAATGATGACTGTCTCCTTCTGATGTCTGTGATAAGTTGTCTTCGGGCTCCCGCCTCTTTCAAAACCTCTTGGTAAAACTTCTACGTCCATAAAGCTTTGATTTTGTTAGTTAGTCGACAGATTATCCTCATTGTACATCAAGCCATTCAATCCATAAGTGCTCATATCTCCTCAGTAAATCCCGCAACGTGAATCAGCTAACGACACAAGTCATCTGTTGCTTTCCTATTCTTCTTGTGCTTTAAGCATAATGTTATTGTCTGTCCACACAACCCTTTTAACATGTTGTTCTTGCAGTGTGCATATTCACAGCCATCACTTGATTTTCACAGTCTCACTTCACATAGAGCATGCAGTGTATCAGCCTGGTCCATGGCACGTTCGTCCGTCACAGTAGCTTTACCATTCAGCCCATCAGCTTGCTCCTTTCCTATCACGCCTGTTTACCCTGACACGAATGTTGACTTATCATAAAGTAAAGGTCCCTTTTCCACGCTTTCAGGCGTATAGGGCATATAGGGCTAACCCTAAATTTTTTATAGATCAATCAGCACAATATGGGTGATATGGTCAGCATCACGCCGGCTGCCTTTACTTCCGAGACTGCATTGGTAGTAGTAGCAGCAGCAGCAGTTGTAGTGGTAGCAGCAGTAGTGGTAGTGGTGGTCTTGGTAGTGGTGGTGGTAGTATTACTAGCAGTAGTCGTATTTTGAACATTTCATATTATTTCAAATATAATATATATTTCGCCAGGCAGCACATTATTATTAGTACTAATGTTACAAAACAGCTTGATGATCTGGACTTTGCTGAAGATATTTCTCTTCTGTCCCACTCAACGGAAATCAGTTGCAAGATGAATGAAATATACTTGGTTCGAAATCACATCAGCTAGGTCTGAAAATCAACAAGGAAAAACAAAGATAATGAGAATAAATCAGGCAAATAGTAATGTGGTTTCTCTTAATTGTATCCCACTTTAAGAGGTGGAGTCGTACACCTGTTTGGACAATAATGTAGATAAAATAGCGGAACCAACACGAATACAAAAGGCAAGAGGAGCTTTCATTGCGCTAGGGAATTTGTGGAGGTCAAAAGAAATTAAAACTAAGAGGAGTGAACTTGAAATGTATAATTCTGTTGTCAAATCAGAACTGTTATATTGAGCGGAAACCTGGAGAACTAAGGCAATTACTAATAAACTACAAACATTCAATAACCTATGCCTGCCCAAAATAGAGGGAATTAAATGGCATGACAGAATCACTAAGGTAGAGCTTTGTGGGAGAACTAAACAAGTTCCAGTGGACCAAGAGGTGAAGAAAAGAGTTGGCGTTGGATAGGACACACGCTGAGGAAACCTGAGAACAATGTAAATAAAATGTCTTTTGCACTGGAACCCAAAGGGGCATAGAAATAAAGGAAGACTAGAAAACACATGGAGAAAGGAGCTGGAGGGTAAAGTTAAAAAGATAGGGAGGATATGGGAAGAACTGCATAGAGTAGCCAGGTATAGAACAACTTGGTGAGAGTTGGTTGAGGGCCTATGCTCCAAAGGTGAAAGACAGAAGAAGAAGAAGTAGTAATACTCTGTTTACTTGAACGAGGATCGGGCTCAGATTTGTAAAGTCACCTCCCCCCCCCCCCTTTTTTTTCCGCCTTTTTTTTCGTGTTATCTTTGTGTCTGCACCCCTTCGTGGGACCCTAATTCTGGGTCATTGCAGAATATTCTTTATTCTATAAAATACTGTTTTACTTGACTAATCTACATTTGACTTCTTCAATAGATCTTCCATTTGCTGTTATCACAATTTC